AAGGAAAATTATTTTCACAACTGCTCCATGAAGTAACGACATTGCAAGTACATATTGTAATAGATCTGTAATTACTATTGGAATCATGGAATGTATAAACGAAGAACCAATTGTGAAGAATTAGAAAAGTATTTTCACCACTGCTCCATGAAGTAAGTACATTGCAAATAAATTGAAGTTGATCATCAATTACTATTTAAAACGTGGAATGAATAAACAAAGAAATATATGAAGAAATGTATTATATAATTATTTTCACAACTGCTAAATGAAATAAAAATAGCAAATAAAATGCAGGTAAAGGTTTTCATTAGCTTCTTAAACAATAGCTTGTGATAGTTTATTTTAGGACACCTTGTATACGATGAATGATATCAGAACGACTAATTGTTCCAAGTTCTCCAAATCAAAGTGATTTGGAATAATAAGGATCTCGATAATGCTTCCACTCATGGAGCTGGATTTAAAATTAATTCGTCGTAAAGATATGTAACGGACGGCAATAAAAAGCCTCGAACGGATCTTAGGAACGTCGTAATTTCTGTTTCCGCGTATCCGGCATAGATTACTCTCGGTGGTTTCTGTGGCGTATGTCGTGAAAGAAGTATAGGATCTTTCGATAAAAGCTATAGAAAATTCTTTTGTAAATGAAGTTCACTCTAAAGAAATTCAGCAGAACAAATAAAATTTTTTGAGAATCTTCAAATATTATCATGTTGTATTTATATAATAACGACAGGAATTTAAAAGAAGGATCAGAGTTAATATAGTGATTCGATTCATTAACGAAAATAAAACACATAGAATATATAAAATAAAATAAATATAACACAGAAGTTGCAAATAATATATAGATGATATTAATTTTCTGTGCCTATTTCATCTTCCGAAAAATTTCAGAGAATTACTTTCTATATGTTTTATGTATGGTTCCATAAGATCTACAACGAAAAAAAGTTTCAATCCAGAACGTTCATTATTAAGAGAGCTACGAATTTTTCAAGATTTGGCAACTGTTTACATATCTTTCCGCTAAAAAATACTAAAAAATAAACACTTCAGATACATTTTTCGCTAACTCCTATAGTTTCCAAGAAATTCTACTGGGCAGTTTAAAATGGTCCACCCTGTATACTGTATGCACGTTTTCTATATTATTGTACGTCATAAATACTTAAAATTCGCAGTCTACTTACGGAGAGTCTTCTAATCAAATTATCTGTTTTAAAATTGACTTCATAAAACACTGTTCGTTCGAGTTTGGAACGTTGCATTATGCTATTTTAATGCTCTTAAGCTGTTGCATTATGAAACGTTGGTTGGAGCTCGTTTAGAATACATTTCTTATTATCTGTCTTCCTACTTACATATTCCGAGTATGTAGTAATACATTACAGCGCTAGACAGGGCGCAGCATAATTTCCTCAGATTTACATCCCGCGAAGAACACAATAGCGTGTCCTACTTCGATCACAAGTACGCTCCAATATTAAGCATGCTTAAGAACATCGACGGATCTCAGAATACTAATAGATTTAACCTTTCTTTTTAAGATCATCAATGGCCAGATCGGATGTTCACCCTTATTAAGACTTATTAACTTTCACGTGCCATGTAAACACTTAAGGAGAAATCCAATTTCCACGTCTTCCTCGGTATTCTCTTTATGAGAATAAGTATAGGTCTGGCGGTCCAATTAATCGTGCTATCTTCTCGGTCTGTAATTATGAGAGCAACCTTTTTTTTTTTTCTTTCATCTCGATTCTCCGCAATTCTTCAAGAATATATTAAAGGGAGTGGTCTCGTATTAATTTTAATATTAAAATTACTTGATTGATTATGTAATCTTGCGTAGAAGGTGTCCTACATAAAATGTTATTAAGCGTTTTTTAACAACTGATAAAGCAATTTTTCAAAGACGTATTAAAGGAAGTACTCTCGTATTAACTTTAATATTAAAATTACTTGATTAAATACGTCATTTCGTTTTGTAGGTGTTCTATGTAAAATGGTATTAGTTGTTTTCTTAGTAACTGGTGAAGACTAATAATTACTTCATTTTTGTTGCAATTAATTCGCACAGGGGGTTAATATTTTAGGGTGCAAGAACATTTTCCAGAAAGTCAAATGTTAAGTGTTTTTCGTGAACTTTTTTTTGTAATGAAAAATTTACGTAATTTTTTTCTTTTTTTAACATTAAGAATATTTTAGGTATGTTTTAAAGTACATTTGGTGATTTTTGCAATTCATTTCACAGAGAAATTTTTGAGATATCGCGTTTTTGTTTAAACTACTTTGGTTTTCGATTTTAATGAATTACATCGTACTCGATAATCGCGTGTTTAATAATTGTTGTTTTGTTTTTAAATGGTTTATAATCTTGGTTTTTACAACGTATCAAATTT